TTCAAAGACAGATAGTGGAACCTTAGTGAAAAAACACAAATTCAGTTTAATAATCCAGTCCCTTTGCAGAATCACCTGGTAGCATCTGTTTGCTGTGAAGCCTGAAGGCAGAAAATATTGATTTGTTAAAATTCATAGTGCATGAAATTGATTTTTAACATTTTTATCATTCTGTATGTCAAACAAACATCACTATTGTATTTGTACATATATCAACAATGTAATTTTCAACATATATATGTTGTTATGGTGAAGAAAATTTTGACAGATTGCATAAAATGAATTATACACTAGAGATTGCATAGTTTACTAATATTTTTCGTAATCTGCTTAGGCCATGTATTCTAGTATGTGCATTGTATATTGTGATAAGGTATATGCGTTGTCATAAACCTTCCACAGTGTCAATGAAATGTTCAGAGCTTGTTTTATTACAAAATATTTCGAGTTTATTGAGTAGTAATGTATTTCAGAGAGAAGTTAAATATTTTTTGCAATTTACATTTATCTGATTTATGAAAAAGTATGATTAGATTCTTATAAAATTTGGCTTAATGAATTTTCCGAGAAGTCTGTTTTGGTGCGACTCCCTCGGGTAGTGTGGACGCCCCTGTGACAGCTGTAGATGAACCTCTGCCGCGTTTCTGCGAGGGGAGGGCTGTGGGCGCAGGGCTCGTTCATCAGGTTGAACTCTTCTGGTCAATACACAACCTCGTTGTGAAAGAGTCTTTGACATCAGTGAAACGAATAATAGTAAAGGCTTCTTTTCTGTGTCGTACCTAACCATTAACAAAATTTCCAGGTTTGAAAGTATCAATTATGTGTGGCAATATTGTTCAGATGCTTCTTGGAAAATTTTATAAGGAATCTCAATGAGAAATTTGAAATTCATATGAACTTGAATATTCTAGAACTAGAAATATTTTCTAAAAATACTGATGTATTTTCTGAGTTTCTAACTTGCTTTAATGACTATAACAGTTCTTTACTTTTGTTAAGCTTTGGTGTCTAGATTAATGGCCATATGCTTGAGGTGGAGCCAACCTGAGTATTGATGTTAACGGACAGTCTGAGGAAACTGTCCTCTTTGCTTTCCCCCCTCTCATGTTTCAACACACATTAAATAACAAATGTGACTTATGATCAATTTAGACCTAAATTTCAGAGATGCTTTGAAATGAAAAATCGGATATAAAATACAAGGAAACTATCAGTTTTTTTTATTTCATTTTATTTTTATTATTACTTGTAAAAATGTGGAGCACAATTCAAAGGAGAGTACTATTTTAATTTCAATCCAAAAATAATCCCTTTTGATTTTGTTGTATATAATAATATTTTAAGAAAAATGTATGATTTATCATACTCTTTGTATGACTACACTAGTATTTCCCACCATTTACACCTCCATTTTCTTATTTCAAATAAATTATACTGCTCTAAAATACTGCTGCAATATCTTTTTATTTTACAAAATTAAAGAAAAATATTTTCTATCATATAGAATTAAAGGAATGATTTGTTTACTTGTTGATACCTTATATTGTATTTATGGATTATTGTGATTCCTTATATTGTATTTAAGGATGCATTGCTCTTATAAATTTAAGCGGTTTAACTTCCTTCTCCGAATGTATTATTTTCAGAAGGAAGTATGCAGTGAAGTGCTATTATTGCTTTGAAAATGTGTTGCTTAGAAATTCATAGCTTACAATTTCTCTCAAAAATTGCAATTTGAAGTGCTTGCTTTGCCATTATCTTATAGGAATGCCATTTTTCTTTGAGCTTCCTTAATTATTGATATTAATATGTACGCTGTTGCAGTTACTGACAAAATTTCTCATGTTCATGTTTCAGCACTTCAGAGAGCACCTTGATAAGCTTTTTGCAAAAGGAATTGGAATGCTGGACATTGCTTTAAATGAAGCTTTCAACATGCTCAATGAAGTAAGTTAATGCTCTTTAGATATGCCCTGCTGACACCTTTCCTGTTTTTTTTTTTTTTTTTTTTTTTTTTTAAGCAATTACTAGCAATCATAAGATAATAAATGTCCACTGATTCAAAAGTAGTATGTTGATAAAGCATTGCCTTATATAACAAAAATTGTAAATCACCTACAGGTGATAAAAGATGCAAGAAAATTGTCATTTTATATATACTGACCATTTATATATACGCGTATATACATGTGTGAGTATTTGCACAGGATAAACCTACACACAAGTTTATTTTAATAGCTGGTGGAGGTGTTATTATCAGAGTAAAATGCTGATCTCCCATTTTTAGATGATTCCTTTTTCTTTGGAAGGACTCATGTTTTAGCAATTACAAGAGATGCTGCATTTCATAAGCATTTTAAAAATGCACATAATTGTTCCAATCACTAAGTGATTGCTCATTGCTTTGACTTTTGGCCTCATGAGTAATATTTCTTACGGTTTATGTAACAGGAGTTACTCTAACAGTTTTGCGCTTATTTGTCTAAAACTTTAGCATAGTGAGAGAAATACAGAATTTTCAACACAAAACATTTGGAATCATTTTTCTTAGCTCAGAGGTATTAATAATATTTTTGCTATCTACCTGCCAAAACTTGAGGCCAACTTCTGATTTGCTGTAACATTCCTGTGAATAATATCTATGAACAGGCCGTCAGTCATTGCAATTTGGACATCTTGAAAATGCAGATAATCCAATTCAGAACATCTAATTTCCCTCCCAAACTCCACTTAAAATTAATGTAGTATGCTGAGTACTCTGGGATATTGTCCTTCAAAGAAAAATTTAATTAAATTCAGGCCTGCTTTCTTTGCCTGAAGTGTTTTTCCTCACAAGGTGTTCATCAGTCTTATTGGTTATTATGAAAAGAATTTATGTAGTGTATTTCAGAGAGATTTTTAAATCAATTTTGATAAGTTTAAAATATATTGCTATGCTATATATTCCAGCAGAGAATAATTTTAACAATATTGAAATATTTCTAAAAATATTGATTCAACTGTCTCTCTGCTTTCCTGAGAATATGTATTGGAATGAGGAAGGAAAAAAGGAGAAAAATCAAGGGTAGTAAAAATGAAAGAAAAATACTGTGAGGAAGTCATCATAATATGTATTATGAGGAATTAAAATAAAATGTCACTATTAAATATTTCTTGTGATATTACTAATGAAAACTCTACCTAGTGTTTCCTGCCTGAAGCTTCTGTTTTGTTAAGATGAGTCTAGATTTAAGTTTTTTATAAGGAAAAATATCTTTTATATCTTTTTTTTTTTTTGTGACCACCTATAAACAGCTCTCTCTTCCAGGATCTTTACGCTAACGAGCACTTACAGCATCGTGAACCATTACATCGCAAAGCTCATTGAGACACGTGTAGCAAATGCTGTTGTGAGAGGCTGAGACACCAAAGATGTCAAAGGCTCACGTAGATTTTAAGGAGGGACTTAAGTGTGAGGTATTTTGGTTTTCCTTAGCCTGAAGGCTAGCAGTGAAGTAGTTCAAGATGAATACATCTTTCCTTTATGTCCAAATGCCAAGAGCCCAAAGGTGAAATACCTGCTCTCACTGATCAATGAGACCTAAAGGAAACTTAAAGTCTTTTTCTCAGGACATACACATTCCAAGAGCTGGAATATTAGCTGTATCTTATTTCAAAATGATGCTGCATGTAGTCTGCATTTAATATTTTGCCTGAACCCTTTTCTTTTATAATTTTTCTGGGTATCCATTTAACTGCATGTGTGAAGCAACTAACCACCCTCCAACAGGAACAGTTCCTGCCAGCAGGGTTATAAGCCTATTAATACATTTCTCACAGCCTTTTTATTATTATTTTAAACTAGTATTTTGCAGTTTAAGACTAAAACTGATTTGCTGTTTCCAGAAAAGATTTTTCTTCATTAACAAGAAAGTGTATGTGAGGATGTGTGTGTGTGTGTGTATATATATATATGTTTTCTTTCTGATAATTTAAAAGTATTAGGAGGCAACCTTATTGTGATTTAGAACACATACATATGGAGAAAGATTTAGAGAGGAGAGGAGTCATCTAGGCAAGTCAGTATCAGATGGCTGGCAGGTGAATGAAAAAAAATCGTGAGGACATTTAGTGATTAAGCAACCATTAAAAAATGTTACACAAAATTTGGTACATCTAATACTTTTTGTCTTTGAATCAAGATTATTTAAAGGCTTTAAAAAACTTTTCTGAAACAACAAAAAAGGGGTGATTATCACACAATTCAAACCTGAGATAGTCATTTGATGCCCAGATTACTGGGTGGAAATGTATGTATTATATTTTCTAGATGATCAGCGATTTTTCTTCCTCTTTTTTTTGTTGTTGTTGTTTTGTTTTGTGATGAAAGTGCTACTGCCTGTATTTAGGCTGTTCTAACTCCTGCTGCTGCTTATCAAAGAGGTTCCAGTTCAGGTGTACAAGCAGAGATGGGGCACTTCTCACATGGCTGTTGTGCTGACAGCCAAGCTGCTAGTAGGAAGGGTAAAGAATGTTTTTCCTAGTAGTGTTAGTGGTGAATAATTCCAAATATTTCTGATTACACTTTCTGAGAATGAATAGTACTTCTCATTGCTTCACAGTTCATATTCAGAAAAGTTAAAAACATTAATTTTTTTAATCAAGTTTGAGGATATAAGAAGTTTAACATGTTTAGTAACAAGATTAAAAAAATCCATGCAGTGTTTATTCTGCCTGAACTGTAACAGATCCCTGGGTATCAATTCTCAGTGGGCCAAATGGAGGGTATTTCTGGTTCAGTAAAACTCATTGTAAGTAAATTTAATTGATTCTTATACATAAATAGATAAAGCTGAAAAAGCATTTTTGCTTTCCATTTTTATTTTTAAAGAAGATTTAATACAGGCATATTTTGACTAGAGCTTTCATGAGTGTAGAACTTTAATTTCTCTTTTTCATGGAATCACAGAGTGATTAAGGCTGGAGATTATCTAGTCCAAACTCCCTCTGTACAAGCAGGATCGCCTAGAGCATGTCGCACAGGTTCACATCGTGGCGGGTTTGGAGTATCTTCAGAGTAGGAGGCTCCACAACTCCTCTAGAAAACCTATTCCAGCTTTTTGTACAATGTTTTGTAGGACTTTTTTTTTTTTTCTAGGCTTATGAGATTCAATTGCTTTTAAATCATGCATTTTAAGAATATATATGAAATATATAAGCTCAATTGGGTTTTAAGTATACAAACAAACAAATCATAATTGATGAGCTAACAGAGAATAGAGATCTATGCCTGCTCACATTTTTAGAAACTTTGTCAACTATCACTCACGTTTACCAGAGTCCTCTTGGAAGCAAATGTTATCAAAATCACAGGTACAATAGGAAAAAAAATCCTTGTTTTCTGGTCTCTCAGTCTGCCTTTTCCCTTCTGTCAACTGAGCAGATAAATAGAATGGAGACAAGTTGGAAACTGGCTTTGGATTGAAGGATTCACCTTAGGAATGAAACTCCCAAACAAAATATTCTCTAAAGGGTTTGACTTAAAAGAGTGGCTGTCTTTATACATATGTACATGGATTAGCTAATGGTTCCAAATCCTTTGCATCTTGAAGCATAATATTGATCATTATTTTCCAGACATAAAACCTGCTCCATAAGATGAAAACATGAGGACAAATGTCTTCCTCCACCCACTGCCCACATGTTCACCCAGACAGTGTGGAACTAGTTCCTTCCTTCCAGAGCGTGCCAAAAATGACAATGGGAAAAGCTGCATGAAATACTGAGCACTCCATCTTTTGTTTGTTTGTTTGTTTTTGAGCAGAGAATATTGAAAGCTTCATTGTGAGCACCGAGTATAGAATCATAGAACCACAGAATGCTTAAGGTTGGAAGGGACCTCTAGAGATCATCTAGCCCAACCCCCTGCACACGCAGGGTCACCTAGAGCACGTGGCACAGGACTGCGTCCAAGCGGGTTTGGAAGATCTCCAGAGAAGGAGACTCCACAACCTCTCTGGGCAGCCTGTTCCAGTGCCCTGTCACCCTCACTGTTAAGAAATTTTTCCTTCAGTTCCTGTGGAACTTTTGGTGCTTCAATTTGTGGCCATTACCTTCTAGTTCACCAAGGGGAGTATAGTCTTAGAAACCAGATATACAACCATAAATGTCAACCAGCCTCTGCACAAAATATCTCCTAGACTAGTTATCCAAATCTGTGTAAATTGAAAAATATTGCAGTCAGTGATCAAGAAAACCTGAGAGCCAGGACTTTTTTTCTCCAAAATCTGGGAGGCAACTTATATTTTAGTGATGCATGGTATGCAAATAGAGATAGAGATAAGCAGATAGCTGTGAGAATAAAGGGAGCTCTCACACTGTGAATTATATGTGTGACGAAGGAGATGCCCATAGCTTTCTAGGGCTGTGAAGGATCATGGTTATGTACATGTTCAGATCTGCTCAAGCTGGAGTAGTGACTCTTTCTATTTACATTATATAATGGAATATAATACCTTCAAGTATTTTTTTGTATATATACTTCCAGAATTCACAGCATCAAAACTTTTTTGTTGCGGACAGGCATATCAACAAAGTCACTGAAAACTGCTTTAAGCACTCCAGAAAAACAGGCTACTTAATTTTCCTTTAATACAGTACTACTGCTAAGTGTTTTCTCCTTCACTTAGAGCATGTGACCTTTGTGTGTCATAAATCTATTCTTGTGAATTGCAGACTAGCTAAGGATTAAAAAATGAGAGAGAGGAGAGGAAAAAAAAAAAAAAAAAGCTTTCTCACAAATAGTCTGTGGAGATTTTGGCTAGGTTTTCAGAATGGCTCAGAGGGTACAGCCATTAAATTCTGTTAATTTGTCTTGCAATTACCTGTCTTTCAGTTTTAGTATTTTCCTGAATTGTTAAGTCCTGAACATGTTGATACTGATGTCTTTGAAAAGCACATTTGAAATCTGCTTCCAACTTCTTTCCAGCCATTCATTTATGCAGTGTTCATTAGTTGCTGAAGGAATATACAAGTGTTTGGTACAGTAGTTAGGCACCTACTATATCACGTGGCAACTGCAATTATCTCTTTTGGCAACAAATGTGATCTTTGCAGTGATTACCTTTAAAAAAAAATCATTGCCAATTAAATAAAATTCTGTGACATTTCAAAGACTGTTAATCACAACCAAATGCTCTAAATGTCAGGATACATGGAAATTTTCACTACTAACTGATGAATCACTGAGTTAATTGTAGTTCATCATAAGGCCTTTGTCATTGTTATTATTATGGAAAACACTTTCATCACTCTTGCTATTCATTAAAAATAAAGTTCTAGACAAATATGAGAAGATATTACTCATCAAAGCATTTGAATTTAATCGCATTCTTCAAAATTTTCAAACAACAGATAACAGTGTAGAATAATACAGATGCATACAAAGTAATGTTTTAAAATAAATCTCTGAAACATTCCAACTCTCTTTGGAAAAACTGACATGATTGAAGAATTTTTATTTGAGGGTAGGCTACCTTGCATCTGTCACAGGTGAGAGCTTTCACAAACACAGTGACCAGTATACAACTAACTTGCTGTAAATCCACATTCACTTCCCCTTAACGTATTCCTGTAGCCAGTGTACGTTAATGAGGTTCCAGACAAAACTGTAGAGCTCTGTTGAACAATATTTGTGGATAAGGTTACACAGGTGTAGAAATGAGAAATGAAACTGTTTAAACAAAAAAATACTGTGGATGTGACTATAAAGATGAGATTTCAGCCATTATGAACATTTTCTAGAAAAAGGACTTTGCATTATGGAAAGAACAATGAAGAATAAATGAGGGCAACTCAGAAGAAGAAATAATGAAGTCATAGTAGTTGCTGCCCCAAATGAAGCCAGAATCCTCTCAATAAGTTTAGCTACAATAATCCAGAGGCAGATAGAGGCCTGGAAAGGTAATTCATTTTTAATTAAAACACACTTTTTCTTTCTTTCTTTTATTTTCTCCTTATATGGGATTACCATTTCTTTGAGTACTCTTCAGTGGAGGTAGGCTGATGAGGGTGGGACAAGAAAATGAGAAAATTATCACTTGGGCTTCCTCCTTATGAAGAGGAAGGTGGTAAGATGAAGTCTTGTCTGACCTCAGACTTGCTAATGTATCAGAAAATTGCAAGCGAGAGAACAAAAGCAGATTTTTTCAGCTATTAGAATCTATCCAAGCAGTAACTGAACATACAGAAAGCAGTTGTGCTCAGATCATAGGCTATGGATCTTTTCAGACTTTAATTAATGTTTTGTATAGGGTAATAAAAATCAGATTATTTGCCAACTTTTTGTTTTGTTGCTGAAAAATGGTTCACCTATCTTAATTTTGCTGAATATACAAATTATCTCAAACAAGATCCTATTATGAAATAAGAGCAGATGGGGCAATATAGTTTTAAATTTAACGCACCAATTCCAGAATTAAAAAAAAAAAAAGCTTAATTTATGGTTTAGTCCAATTGACTTGTTCTTTGACCATGAGAAAATTACATCTCTCTGTGCAGTGATAAAGTTTTCTTTCTCTACGCTAATGGATATGTTGACTGTTGTCTAAATACTTGTACTTTGGTACTGCAGTTTGGACTACTTGTGTGTATTTATTCTGAGTAAAAGAAGAGTCTCGAAATATGTAAATATTAACTTGGTGCTCCCAGTTAAACATTTTATGAGAAATAAAAATGGACTGTAATCCTCCATTGAGTAGTCAAAAGTCTATATCAGTGCTGTACTTGCTGTACATTGCAAAAAAAAAGTCAATGGTTTATTTCTTCTTCTGTCTTTTTAGAATGATATTTTGAAACAAAGCAGACCTAGTTAGATCAATACACATACACATGGAAAAAAGTATGGATTTCATACACTCTTTACATAGTTTTTTTTTTTTTTTTAAAAAAAAGAATTGCTATCTTTAAATGTTTCTTTATATTTTTCAAGCTGATAGAATTGGTATATAATGAATCCTTCTGCTGTTAGACAATCCACATTACAACTTGTTAGTTGCATAGTAACAATGCTAAAATGTTTTCAAGCTAAGACTTTCTCTTCTCTGTGTGGTCAGACATTCTGTAAAATCTGGGTTAATCTAATAAGATCCTATCTATCATTTAACAGGAATATGTTGTATTTAAATTTGTGTTTCCTTTCACAGTTCAATCACACGGGACAAGGAAGTATTTGCAGCCAAGCCATAATGCTGATTACCGATGGAGCTGTGGACACATATGATACAATATTTGCAAAGTATAACTGGCCAGATAGAAAGGTATGTTATTCCTTTATTTGATGGAAAATCAAAAGCTTCTCATCCATTATAAAGTGTATATAACTAGATAAGTGTACCTACTGAAAAACCTCCTTAATAATTTAAAAATATTTTGGGTGACTGGGTGATTCTCTAATGATCAAAATGATTCTTACGCAGTATTGCTTGAAAGTAGATGTGACCTTTTTCTGTTGTAATGAACTTAGGATAATAAGATATTAAGGAAATCATTTCCTCCAAGGTATGGTCTTGACCATTATTTCCTCACTGAGACATCATTAAATGTTAACAATTTTACTTTGCTTTTTCCCAAAACGTTCATTCATAATTCAGTGCTTTGGGTCACTGACAAGTGTAGGTACTACATGGATCACGATGTGTGGATTGTTTACTATGATTACAGAAGGAGCAGATGTAGTACTTGGGTATATTTGTTCACTTCCATTCATTTGACAAAGTGAGAGGTAGAGCTTGCAATTAGTGAGAATTAATTAACAATTAATTTGGTTCTGTCATTCTATGTGAAGAAATTTGTCTGGAATATAGCTAGCTTATTGTTTAACACATGGATGCTATGTTCTAGCACAGTAATGCCTTGTATTTTAATAAGAAAGACTCTGCTAGGCCTGCTGTTTGAATGTGAAACATTTCATTTTCTTCTACACTTTATTTTTTCTTCCTCTAAAACAAATTTGGATTTTGTAGGAAGACTTGGTTTTTGAGTTATCTGCCATGTTATGTACCTGTAGAAGCAATATCACTGTGCTGTTTGAGCAAATACATGATAACATGCAAGCACATTGGCAGGTTTCAGTATTTTGTGGAAAAACATAATAGTTTTGGCTTTTACTTTTTTAGTCGTGTTTCTTCCAGTTTTAAAATTACATTTGTTTTCCGTGCTCACTTTTCTTGTTTACTTGAACTAAACATTATTAGTGATGCAAGAGCAAGAGAAAATAGGAAATTGGTGACTTTTTACTGATCTTCTGAAAATGTTATGTCAATTACTGTCATTACCTACAGTAAAAATGACATTCATCTATTCTGCTTTCTGTTGGTTGAGAGTTTTTTATTCAGAGAATGTAGAATAATGACTGTAACTGCAATCTGAAGATCTGTTTTTCTCCTCAGAGACCTTGCTCACTTCATGTTGTTCAACTTCTATAACTTCATTTTCAAAAAGAAAAAAAGTTCATTCTTTTTGTGCTTTTGCCATGACACACTGGCAAGTCTGTCATCTTTAAAAGAATGCAAAGGTGCATTCTGTATTTGCATATTTTGAGGAGGTCTCTGATACTTTTCGTGTGAATTGACGATCGCCTTTGTGTGGTGGAAGGAGGGAAGAAGTCATTATTCCTTAATTGATGCATTAAGATGTAGACATAGATATTATGAAGAATATCCACTGGATGTCAAGAATTGTTGGTTTTGATACTTGTTATGCCTGATTGGGGCACATCTCAACTGGCAATGTCAATGTTTCTGATATAGAATTATTTGTTTTTACTTTGTGCTATGCAGAGTATGTCCTTGAGATACTCCTTGTATGTGCAAGTCAGAGAGAGTACTTGATCTAGGATTTCACTCCTTAATTTTGTTCAAGGGTTTTCAGTTAGGTTATTTGTTGTAATTTATGCAGAAATATTTCCTACCTTTGCTCTTCTGTATTTATTATTGAAGATGGGTAAACAATAATAAGGATCTCTTCAGGGGAAAATTTTTGTGTTGATTTTTCTGTTGATGAATTAGAGGGAAATTTAGAGCTTTATGAAATGTATTTGTCAATTGAAATTACCAAATATTTCTGAAAGCAAGAACATATTTGTGTTGTAGTTTGTTTTCCATCTGGTTTAAATATTCAAAAGGTAATCTGCCTTTTTAGATGGGTCATATGCTGCGTTTTTAGTTCCTAACTATATAAGCGCAATTCTTTAATAGGTTTTATGTTAACTTGCTCTACTCATGTAAATGCCTCATACTAATATAGTCCCAACATCTCTCCTAAATCCTTCTTTGTATTTACAGTTTTCTCCTAATGTGATTATTTTAATTGTTGCTGCTTCAAACTACACATTTTTGCTTTTTCATGAAATGAAAAGCTTGCTTTTTCATTTTTTTCCATTACCGGATGTTATCAGACACTTCTACCTATCTGAATCATCTGTGAAGTGTTAAGCTTAGCTATATGATTCAATTGTTACTGTTAACTGTTTAGTTAAAAATCTTGTAATGGCACAAGATTTCCTTGATCAGATGAAGCATGATGAATTTTCATTCAAAGAATACATAAATATCTCAACTTCACTAAGCTTTTAAATAAACTGAAAATTTTAAACAATTTAAGCGGTGGATATAAGTAACATGAATCTAAATTATCTTAGGAATTTGAGTCATTATTTGTGGTATTTGCCTCCCCACTTATTTTATCTCTTTTCCAGTTTTTGTATGATTGATTAACTTTGTAGATAAGCACCGATTCTTTTCCATGCAAAAATAACCCATTTTGTTTTATGGAAAGTGAAGCTTAAGAGATGATGATTGAAAATCATTTCTTGTGGCCAGTATTTCTCTCCTTACTTACAACTTAAACCAGATAATATCCAGGTAAGCCTTGAAGGGTTTCAGGATAACTTTTCCATATATCTAGCAAACACTGACCTCTAAGGAGATCTAAGAATTGCTCAAAAGGATGTGCCTTGCCTTGCATTTTCTTACAACCATAAATTTACTTCCTCCCTGAAGAAGGGGAGGAGAACATAGGGAAACTCTCTTTATCATATGAAATCAATAAAGAATTTTCTGAAGCAGTCATTGATTATTTTCACAAACCCATGCACTACATATACCATGTGCAAGGGAATGTTTCGTTTTCTAGTCTGCAATGTCTTGTCATTTTCTTATCATTTAGCTGTTTTCTGTCACTTTAATACTGTGGTGGGCAGTGATGAACACCGTAACAGCTCCAATTCAGAAACGTTCTCAAGTTTGTGCCTATCTCAATTACTATGGCAGCTAAGTACATATTTTAGTTATATTTTTCTCTGTGTTATATAATATTAAAAATACCATCTTTAGTTGCAGCAGAAACATCTTGTCGCCTATAACAAATTGTATAAACACAGTTGATGGCTGTCTTTGTATTATTGTGAAGTCTTTGCTAGCTCGTGACAAACTGTGACTGACGCTGACAAATCTTTGTGACAAGTGACACTGACAAAACCTTTCTCCCCGCTCTACTCAGGCCATCTATACCTTTGAATAAGGTATTGTTTTTAAAAAATGGTTTATGCAATCAGGGATCAGCTCACCATATTACCTAGCTTTGTAGATATATTCACTGTGGCAACTGGAAGAACTACCGCTACATTCTAATAATATATGAAATACACATTTTGCAACATTAAGTTTTAGAAAAACAACTCTACAGCTCCTATTTAATCACAAAAGTAGCTGAAATAAGGCATTCTTTTATTCTGGGGCATTGGACTGTTTTTGTTTATGAACTAGAGACTTACGACCATGGGAGCAGGGGGGTTGGACTAGATGATCTCTAGAGGTCCCTTCCAACCTCACCCATTCTGTGAAAGCTACTCAAAATTACCTTCTGGTCTGTTCCTTTGAAAAAGGGAGCATTTTCATTGTATTGTTTTTGTTTGCTTGTTTATGAACTCCTGTTTTCCTCACACACACAAAAAAACTATTTTCTTACATATTTTTTCCTTCTTAAAATGTAAATCTTGTAGTGCTATTATTTATTGCATACCATGTTTTATTTGTATGATAAAGGCACTAAGTTGTTAATGTCTGTTTACTTTTTATGTTAGTCCTTACATGGAATTTTGCACTTTAAACAGCTAGAATCTCACACATTATAAATTATTTTTATGCCATGTACATAATTTTTCTCATTCATTAAACTTTTTTCAGTATCTTCAAATTCCTGCATTGGACTTGAGACAGATCTGCTATGTAGATACTGTTCTTAAGCATTTGACCATGTTCCTGTGTACCAAGCATCCATTCAGCCTCCTGATCCCTTTTCTTCATTAGTTAAAATGATCAAGTGCTGGATATTTTGCAGTTGAGTCTCTTTCTTTTCCCCAGTTATCCTACCATCAAGTCCTAGACTTCTGTAAAGCCTGTTTCCCCATTGTTCTAGAGCACCTCAAAAGCATTTCTTCCATAACCATGATTCAGGGAGGACTTAAAATGCCATTGAGACTAAGATAGGAATATAATTTAAGTATAGAAGGAAATATTTTTGTGAAATTTCAAATTGTGCAAGTTGGGGGTTCCAGGGAGATTTCATTCTGCATGGAAGAGAAAGGCTTTTTCTCTATCTTTTCTTTCTGCTTATTAATCATTACAACAAGGCAGAGATTAAAGTTTGAAGGATTCTTTTTGGAGGGTGAATGTACAGAATATTGCAACAGAATATTTTGCAAAAATCAGCTAATGCTCCCTGAAATATGTTTGAACAGAACTGTTGAATTAAAAGAATTAGTAGAATTGTTCTTTTCTTTCCCTTGTCCACTTCACCTCTCCCTCCCTTTAAAGAATTTGCTGCTGCTGTACCCGCTGTGTGCTTGGTAACTGGTTAACTTTCAAGAACAAGGGGGTTGTGTGGGCATTTCATAGGTCTTTCAAGCTATGACACAACTTATATTAATTAGCTATTTTATAGGCTCCCAATGAAAATTGGGTAGGAGGTCTAACAGAAGTTCTTGATTTGGGATAGAGAGAAACTGCCCCTCACAGAAATGGTTGAGTTTATTTCCTGCCTCATCTGCAATTTAGAAAGAATTAAAATAAGTTAAGAATTCATTTTTAGGCCAATCTTTGATATTAATAACTTCCCCCCCCCAAAAAAAAAAAAAAAAAACTTAAAACCAAAAAGGAGTTTCTTTTGTAAAGATAAGGGTAATTGAATCATCCTCGTGGTATACGTGGATTGCCAGAGGAAGGATTATTGCTTCTCAGATACAGAGTTATACGGTTGG